GAGGTGTAATAGTTTTATCACATGAAGGGTATAATATGTAGTTGCAAAGTGAGATGCTTTTTCTCATTTCATATAAGTTAAGTTGCATTTACATATTTCCTAATTATCAACATTGCAACATTGGACCTCTTGACTTCAGCAAATGCAAAAGGAATACTGGGGATGAAGGTCCTTGAGTTCTTATTAAGCTTCCAAGTAGCAAAGGCAGATTTAATTTGTGCCCCGATAAGGCTGAACACAACTTTAGTTGGTCTCAATTAAATAATGTCTCTCTCTGTCCCTTTTTGTTTGTTTTGTTTTGCTTTTGGATAGTACTAGATAAAACAAAGTGTAATGCTTATTTTTTTTTTAAATAAAAAAGCATTTCTTTGTAGTAAGTAATAAGAGTAAAGGGGTACACTAATTTTATTCAGCAACTAATACTATATTTGTTAATATTCTGGTTATCCCTATGTCTATATCTTATAATCTTCACGACAAGTCTCTCAAGTAATTGTTACAACCACCCCCATTTTGCAAATGTCAAAACAGTTCAATCCATTGTGATTTGATAATTTGTTCACGGACACTCTCAAAAAGTATGTGGTATAGCTGAAGTTTGGGCCAAAACTTTTCCCTCCAGATCCTGTATTAATCCCCCAAATAGATTGCTAAAGTACAGTTTCCAGCATCATTTCCCTGTATTTACTTTAGATATTACCATTTGAAAATTCTAGATCTCATTAAAATACTAAGGAAAAGGGGAGCTCTCTTTTCCTAATCAGCTATTTATCCAGAAAAGAGATTGAGATTTAATAGATAAACACATTCCCTTAAAGTTGGTTTCTTTAATGTCCTTTAATCATTGAGTTTCAGATTTCATTGAGATAGCTTAACAATAATTTCCAGGCACCAGCACCCAAATATGGTAGTCTTCAACTTAATTGTTAATATGCAATTAAGTCTATTAGGGCAAGTACAAGAATGATGGCAATAGAAAAAAGGGGGTGAGAAATAAGTAAATTTTTCAAAAGAATGGAGTCAATTTACTAAGGCTTTATTCTTGCACTATTTTATTTTCCCCAGATTAAAAAAATATGACACGATCCTGATCACTTCCTTAGAATCAATGTTTTTGCCTCTGCTCTCATTTGGCACTCAGTCTGTTGGAGAACAGGTAGGGTTAAACTTCATACTGGAAGCGCTTTTGCCCTCATTTGGTGCTAAGGACAAATAAATAATCAACTGTGCAAATATCACAAGCAAAGGGAACTGTTATCTACCCATATACTAATTACTCAAGTATTTACTACAACAGCAAGGTACCAGCAGGCTAGTTGGGTATTGTTTTGGGCATACTTGAATTTTTGGATAAATTTAATCATTGCATTTTTAAACCTCCTTACTCTCTTCTTTTTTAAATAACCTTTATTGATTTCTCTACCCAGAAAAATCTGAGCTCTCAAAATATAGGCTTAAGTAGAATGATGGGCAAAATAGAAGGAAGGGGAGAAGAGGTTAAGAACAATGTTCTCCAATTCAAAGCTGTTGGTGAACACGTATTGTACGCATGTGACCCACTGTACACAGGGACTTGTGTGCATTTTTTCCATAGATTTAAGTGCTGAAATCTACCATTTACTCAATTCTTAATATTCTTAATTATTCTAAATTAACATCAGAGGCAGATAGAGTGTATTTCCGTTCTACCATCTCTCCAACTCCCATCCAGTACTTATCTTTCCTTCTTTCCAGTCAGCTCATATTTCAGTTATAATGACTTGTTTAGTAGACTATTCTATACTAAAAAATTTATTTGATTTGGAAATTCTGACCTGTGTGTTTTTTTCCCTTGAAATCAGTGAATAGAACTGGATTAAGAGAAATCTTTTTGAAAATAATGATGAAAACAAGAGTTTAACAATATAAAACTAGAAATGCTGAGGTTAAAACTTGTCAGTGATAGCACCTTGCCATGAATAACTCTGTGTGTGCATGTGTGTGTATATGTGTGTTATTGTATTATTTATGGAAGGTAGAGTCTTTGTATTTCTGCCAAGTTATCATATTTCTCCAGTGGACTCTGAGGTGCTTCTGGCCGCTCTTCCTGCTTGTAGGTATCATAGGACTATGGAGGAGCATCCCATGGCTCGGGCAGCCAGTTCTCCCAAGAGTTCTGCATGCTCCGTGGGAATTTCCAAATTCTCACAGTAGTCTAATTCATAACAACCTAAATACATCTGATATTTGTAAGTAATTGTTGAAAATGCAGGTAAATTTTAACTTGGAAAGAAATATATTGTAATTCAAAAGTTCTGAACCAAAAAGTTGATTTGGTCTTTTAAAAAATTGAAATGAAAAGTTTCTGCCAAAGTGGCAGAAAGTAGGCTCTCAGGCAGCCTCTGGGGAAAGCTCAAAGACTTCCATTTTGGTTTACTTTACACCTAATAATTTTAAATACATTTGAATACATTATGAAAAGATATAGCTGTACTGATGTGCCAGTGCCCAACTCAAAGAACTCTGAAAAGACTTGCAAACTGGTGAGTCTAGATTGGCTTCTTTTATCATTCACACCCAATTAAAAGCAGAGGAAAAGCCTCAGAATCAGTAGAAATTTTCTGCATGACCATTCATGAGGAATTAGGTTGGTGCAAAAGTAACTGTGGTTTTTACCATTGCTTTAAGGGTGAAAACCATGATTACTTTTGCACCAATCTAATATAATAAGAATTTAGCCTCAGGAGGAAGACCAAAGCACCTTATCTTATATTGTAGAAAGTGCTGGAGATGGTGAGTAGCTAATCTAGGCTTGTGATTCAGGGAAAAAAACTAAAGGTTCAAAATATTAATTTTAATTGATAAGTGAAGTATGCTTCATCCATACGCTGGAATTCAAAGTCATCAGTTTTAAAAAACAACACTAATTTACATTCCCACCAACAGTGTAAAAGTGCTCTTATTTCTCCACAGTCTTGCCAGCATCTATTATTTCTTGACTTTTTAATAATTGCCATTCTGATTGGCATGAGATGGAATCTCATTGTGGTTTTGATTTGCATTTCTCTAATGATCAGTGATGTTGAGCTCTTTTTCATGCTTGTTGGCTGCATAAATTTCTTCTTTTGACAAGTATCTGTTCATATCCGTTGCCCACTTTTTGATGTTTTTTAAAAATAAATTTGTTTAAGTTCCTTGTAAATTCTAGAAATTACAGAATTTAAGTTCAACCATTGTGGAAGACAGTATGGTGATTCCTCAAGGATCTAGAACCAGAAATACCATTTGATCCAGCCATCCCATTACTGAGTATATACCCAAAGGAATATAAATTATTTTACTATAAAGACACATGCACACGTATGTTTATTGCAGCACTATTTACAATAGCAAAGTCATTGAACCAACCTAAATGCCCATCAATGATAGATTGGATAAAGAAAATTTGGTACATATGTACCATGGAATACTAGGCAACGATAACAAGGAATGAGATCATGTCCTTTCCAGAGACATGGGTGAAGCTGGAAGCCATCGTCCACAGCAAACTAATACAGGAACAGGAAACCAAACACCGCATGTTCTCACTCATAACTGGGAGTTGAATATTGAGAAGACATGGACACAGGGAGGGGAACAACACATTCCAGGACCTGTTTAGGGGTGGGGGGTGAGGGGAGGGAACTTAGAAGACTGGTCAGTAGGTGCAGCCAACCACCATGGCACATGTATACCTATGTAACAAACCTGCATGTTCTGCACATGTATCCCAGAACTTAAAGTAAAATTATAAATAAATAAATAAATAAAAATAACACTAATAAGAGATAGCATATCCAATGCCCCAGAAAAGTAGGAAAATTCACTGGCAAGGATATCATCTCATAGATATTTTTGAATGAGAAAAATAAATTAGAGAACAGAATAACCTCAATCCCTTATATACATGAAATGTTTTATTGTTCACACTAAAGAGAATGTTAAAACACGTAAACTAATCTATTACTACTTCTGGAAAAAAATTTATCAGCCTGTGACCATAGGTCATTACTACCATTTTTACATAAAGTGTAAAACACCACTAACACAGCAGATGGAGCTCAATAACTGCCAGGCAAGTTGCTGCAGCCATGGTTTGGTATAGCCATTGGGAAGTGGGTTGTCCTGGAGGTTGGACTAGACCTTCTCAAGGGTGTTTTGGCCAAGTAACCATATTGACACTAGGCTGTCACAGGTGGCTTCAAGTTCTAGGAGAGTCTTTCTAATGATATCTTGGGATTTTTGATTCATATCAAATGTGAGCATTTCCTATTATGAGTGAGTGTGAAGACTTTACCATATCCTAACATTTGAGGATTTTCAGCACGTGTGAGTTTATAAGTGTGTTTGATATGTGTCACAGGTGTGCTAGCTCTACTTCTGGGATTCACTCTTTGGTAGATCAATAAGTAATGGAATAGTGATAAAATGATAGTGATGATTATGACAATGATTTTTAAAAGGTCAGAGATATTGGTTGTTTTGTATGCATCTAAATAGAATCAGTAAACATATACTTGCATAGGTAATTCATTCATCATATCTACTCAGATTGGTCTTGTGTACTGTGATGCCATTGCTGTGGTTGTTTCTAAGATTGTCAGAAATTTTGAAGATGGCTATAGTTGTCGATATTACCAAGTGATGCTATCAGCAAGGCTATAGAACTGTGTTCAAATGCATGCCTTCAAAGTTCTTTTGCTTCCATAATTTCTGAGTCATACTTAGCAAATGGTTGTGAAGTCTTATGTGAAGAACTGTTGCATTTTGTCAGTGAATACGTGATTGATTGCAGAAGAGCACTTATTTCAATGGCTGTTGGTGAGAATAGATGAAATTCTACCCAAGATAATTGATATGAATCTTCCTGAAATCTAACATTCCAGAAATGGAAAGTGGAGCCTTTCATCAAGGGGTTCAATGAGTCTTCCTCTCTGACTTAGGTTAATGCCACCTTCTTCTCTTTCTCTGTTTATTCCTAGAATGCAGGCTCAACAGTACCAGCAGCAGCGTCGAAAATTTGCAGCTGCCTTCTTGGCATTCATTTTCATACTGGCAGCTGTGGATACTGCTGAAGCAGGGAAGAAAGAGAAACCAGGTAAGCAGTAGGGTTCTGAAGGCAAGATGCTTCATTGATTAATGTCCATCTAGCCTAATTACCTGCTTTTCCTTCATGTCCTCTACTCTGCCTCTCTCCCTTCCTATTCCTCTATTCCTTCAATCTTCCCTTTTTAAAAATAATTATTTAGAGGAACCTAGGAAATATCCTGTCTGCCATTGCAAGTCCTGGATTGCATGACGATGATGATCATTAATATAATGATCAAATTAGCAGCTACTATGTATAGAACATTGACCAGCAATCAGGTGCTTTATTATAATATTACCTCTCTACCTCAAAAAAAAAAATGCACTGCAACTTGTTTTTCTCCTTAATTTCAGATTTACAGAGGAGGAAACTGAGGCACAGAGAAGCTAAAACACCTTCTCTACGCCACTCACAAAGTCATAAGTAGGCTGTGGAACTGACAGTCTGTTTAAATCTGTGATCCACCATATATGTATGATGTCATTCCTTCTACAAGACAGAGAAAGGAACAATAACTTGCACTGAAATGGCTCATTTGACAACTGTTATTTCTTTCTTTCTTTCTTTCTTTTTTTTTGAGATGGAGTCTTGCTCTGTCACCAGGCTGGAGTGCAGTGGTGCAATCTCAACTCACTGTATCCTCCATCTCCCGCAATTCTCTTGCCTCAGCTTCCAAAGTAGCTGGGGCTACAGGCATGCACCACCACGCCCAGCTTATTTTTGTATTTTTAGTAGAGTTGGGGTTTCACTATGTTAGCCAGGATGGTCTCGATCTCTTGACCTTGTGATCTGCCTGCCTCAACCTCCCAAAGTGCTGGGATTACAGGCATGAGCCACTGGGCCCGGCTGACAACTGTCATTTCTGATGGAATATTTTCTCGATTTTTAGGCTTAACTATTTTTGATCATCTCTTCGTTTATAGAAATATTTGCTTCTAAAAGGAGATGCCACTAAATCACTTAGCAAAGTCTCTGGCACATAGTAAGAGGGAGTTAAATTAATACTAGTTTTAGCTCTTTTCTCAGTTTTCTTTCTCTCTTCTCTTGATCATTCTTTGGTTCAATACTTTGGTTAATATTCGTCATATTTCTATTATTCACTGGAAAATAAGGATAGAGATTAAAAAAAAAACCACACAGATCCTACAATTAAGGTTCTCAGGAATGAACTTGGTTATATCTGGAAGTTAAGGAGTTTTCTGTATGTTGATTAGGTTTGCTTCCTTTCATTCAGAAAAAAAAGTGAAAAAGTCTGACTGTGGAGAATGGCAGTGGAGTGTGTGTGTGCCCACCAGTGGAGACTGTGGACTGGGCACGCGGGAAGGCACTCGGACTGGAGCCGAGTGCAAGCAAACCATGAAGACCCAGAGATGTAAGATCCCCTGCAACTGGAAGAAGCAATTTGGAGGTAAGCTTCATACTACTGAGTTAATCTCCTACCCTAAGATAATTCTCAAATTTTTCCACCAAATGTCTTTTTAAGGATGAGTACTTTTTATTTTAAATAACTTTATCTTATCAGACACAAAGTGACCAGATATCTTTCCCAACCCCAGTGTTTCTCAACTTTGACACTGGTCACATTTCAGGCCAGGCAATTCTTTGTTGTGGAGGTTGTCTTGTGCATTTTAGGGTATTTAGCAGCGTCCCCGGCTTCTACTCACTAGTTTCCAGTAGGATTCCTCACCCACTCCAGATGTGAAAACTAAAAATGTCTCCAAATATCTATGGCCAAATGTCTCCTTGTGATCAAAATCATCCCTGGTTGGGAACCACTGCCTTTCCAAAGGGACATAAAATATATCCTTGATTCCTCCTAATAATGTTCATTGATCTATCTTCTCTCTCCTTTTTTCTATTTCTAAGTTCCTTTGATTTTTCCTTTCCCCTTTTCTTGTTTATTCTCCTTCTTCTCCATGTCCCTCCCTGTCACTTTCAGGCCTTCTCTCTCATTTGATCCCTCCCCACCCTCCACACAGGTTCACAGATTCACTTATTGAGTCCAGCAGGGCTGCTCACAGCCACTTTTCATAGATCTTTCTCCCACTGACTAGAGTCAGTCTTATGCTGGCCTGATCTATCTATCTGAGACAGGATCTGTCAACACTTTCAACTTTATATCCAATATTGAACCCTCAAATAACCTCTTTCTTCCACGATCCAGACTTTTTGTCTTTCTTAACCATGGGAGGACATGATTCCTGAAATGTCCTACCTGTGTTCTGTGGAAATGCACTGTGGCCCATAGACAAGTGAGGAAGGACAATGGATGTATACACGTACATCTTTTTCTCCCTCTGTAATCTTTGGAGTATTTTCTATTTGAATGGAGATAGATAAGTTCTATAAAAGTGTGATGGAGAACAGGTACATTTGGTCTTAAATTGTATCTGGGAACCTCAAAAACCCATTTTCAAAAAGTTTAAAAGGTCTATCTTAAAGACTTATATTGAAAATATTAAATAACTCTCAAATTCAACAGTAAACAACAAAGCCACAGCAACAATAACAAAACAACAAAACAAAACAAACAAAACTTAACAGTTCAATAAGAAAGTGGGGGAAAAACATTAACAGACCTTTTACCAAAGAGGATATATAGGCAACAAATGAACTCCTGAAAATGTATTCAACATCTTTTCCTTATTAGGGAACTAGAAATTGAAACCATAATGAGAGATCACTCTACATCTATCAAAGTGGCTAGAATAAAAAATAGTGACAAGACGAAATGCTAGTGAGGGTGCAGGGAAACCAGATCCCTCATATGTTGCCAGTGGAAATTGTAACGTGGTACAGCCGCAGTGGAAAAAGAGTATTGCAGTTTTTTACAAAATGAAGCATGCATTTACCGTGTAACAGAGCAGTTTCTTGGTCATTTATCCCAGAGAAATGAAAACTTATGTTTCCACAAAAACCTATACATGAATTTATGCAGGAGTTTTATTTGTAATAACCCAAAGCTGGAAACAACTCAGATGTCCTTCAACTGATAAATGGTTAAACCAGGGTACATTGGCACTGTAGAGTACTACTCAGCAATAGGAAGAAACAGACTATTGATGCACCCGACTTGGGTGGATCTTCAGGTAATTATGCTAAGTAAAAAAGAAAACTAATCTCAGAAGTTTACATAGTGTAGAATTCCATTTATGCAACATTTTTCAGTTAGAAAAATGATAGAGCTAGAGAACAGATTAGGAGTTGCCAGGGATTAAGGAGGTGGGGAAGGAGGAAGGTGGCCAGGCCATGACTATAAAGAATGACCCAGTGTTGTGTTGGGGCTGTATATTAGTGGTGTATATTAATGTATATTAATGGTGTATATTGATGGTGATTGCATGCATGTACACATGTGACAGAATTGAACAGAACTCAATACACACGCATACATTCTGTATTATTTCTTATAGCTGCACATGGATCTATAATTATTTCAATAAAAAAAGTTACAAACAAAAGAGTGCCTTTATTATCCTGGAAGTACAATAGGATCTTTCAAGGATTTCTGTTTGGTTCTACCCTGTCTTTAGCGGAGTGCAAATACCAGTTCCAGGCCTGGGGAGAATGTGACCTGAACACGGCCCTGAAGACCAGAACTGGAAGTCTGAAGCGAGCCCTGCACAATGCCGAATGCCAGAAGACTGTCACCATCTCCAAGCCCTGTGGCAAACTGACCAAGCCCAAACCTCAAGGTAAGTCCTTGCCATTATACCACAATTTTAATGGATTGATGGACTCAGGCAAGATCTGGAAAACCCACATTTTCCAGAAGGAACTATTAGGTGAATTACTGAAGAAAGTGACTGAAAAAGTCCCCTACACTGAGAACCACAAAAAGACTTTTAAGCAGGCAGTCTGTGAGTGCAAATTGAAGTCCTCTGCATAAATGAGGGGATTGGTACAGTCTCCTAACCCAAATAAATAACATAGCAAAAGAAGCCAGCTAAGACAGTTGTATGATGACCATATATTCCAAACTCTTAATTGGAACTGTATCCTGACAAGAAAAACAAACTCAGAATGTTTATAAAGGGGACAATTTTAACTCAAACTTCTCCCAGATTGTCTGAAATATAGTTTTCACAAAATCAGGAAAATTATTTTACATTTTCCCTTTATTCACTGCATAACTTAATGGGTTCTGCACTTCTTTTCAGAGCCTTTATATTTTTTTGAGTTCAATTTGATTACCAGCTACATTCATCACAGAATTTTTTAATGACAGGGATCTGTATCTCCCAGAAAGTCAGGCTCTGCTCACTTGCTGGAGAAGGTAAAACCAATCATTATGGCCATGAATTCATACATACAAGGATCCCAGCTGAGGGAAATAAACTCTTTTATCATGGATGTTATGGTCTGAATTGTGTTTCCCCAAATTCATATGCTGAAGTTTTAACCCCCAGTACCTCACAATGCCACTGTGTTGGAGACAGGGTCTTTAAAGAGGTAATTGAGATAAAATGCAGTCACAAGGGCAGGCCTTAATCCAGTGTGGCTGGTGTCTTTATAAGAAGGGAGATTAGGACACAGAAATACGTAGAGGGAAGACTGTGTGAAGACAGAGGGAGAAGAATGCCATCTACAAGCCACAGGGAGAACCTTCAGAAGAAATCAGCCCTACAGATGCATTAGGCTTGTAGCTTCCAGAACTGCAAGACAATAAATAAATAAATTTCTGTTTTTTAAGCCACCAACTCCGTGGTACTTTGTTATGGCAGCTATAGCCAACTAACAAAATGGGCCTCAATGAACTCAATTCAAATACCTTCTTGGCCTTTACTCATATATTTCAACTCTAAGATGGTCCTGAAAATTCATACTGCCAGAGAAATTGTAAGGAGAGATTCAGAAAAATGACCATGTAAGAAATGCTCATAATTAATAAAAATAGAAAACAAATCTGCAGAAGCTGAGGGAGATTGGCTGGTTTCCTGCTGGTGACCAGAAAGGACTTTATTTTTCACAGGCCTGGCTTTTCGGCCTCTGATGGAGTTGTCCATAGAAATGGTTATCTCCAACTTCAGGATGGCCAGGTACAGGCTGGACCTGCAAATGGTGAATCTAGGATTAAGGCTGCCCTTTCCAGATCTTGGAAATCTCTACCTGTTGTCCTATGGTTTTAGGAAGGCATGAAGCAGGGCTGGAGTGACTGCAGTGAGTACTTATGCCGACTTCCCAAATGTCATTTGTCCAGAGACAACCACATAAATCTAAGCCAAATCAGGGCCATAACTACTAAGTGAAACATTTCCAAAAATGGCAGAACTCAGAGTTACTGTCATCAAAATAATTTATTTTTAATCCAGCTGTAGAACCAAAATATGCAGCATAAATACAGAATTGAAAGGAAAAGAAATTAAAGAAGCTTCCACATTCTGGCACAGTGATGCTCAACCTGGGCTGCACATTAGAATATTGTGTGGGAACGTGCAAAATTCCCAGTGCCCAAGTATAGCACAGACTAACCCAATCAGCATCAGTAGTTTAAAAATTGTAAATACATCTCAGAAGGTTTCAAGATGCAGCCAAAATTGAGAACTGCTGCCCTAGTATGGAATCCGTTGACAAGAGACCACAGACACATGCATGCACATGTCACACACACACACAGACACACACACACACACACACAGACACACACACATGCACTGTCCTGTTATTTCCTATGGGAAAGAGAAAATTCAACTTAATAGGGGAGAAAAACTGGGGACATGATTAGGTGGAAGATAGTGGGGCTAGATGAACACATAAAATGGTGAAAAGTTTGGAATGAATGGAACACAGCAGGGAACATGATTAAGAGAGACCCCTAAAGGATATGTAGGAAATAAGTGAAGTCTTCCTTTTACCTGAACTGTTGTATATTTCACCTTTATACAGTATCTCATCTAATAATGAACGTTAAGTTTGTTTCAGGCTTTCAGCTTGAAAAAATGACACTAAAAATATTTCAAGTGGGTAGACATTCTGTAATCATATATAAATAAATTATGGTTTATAATTAATTGATATAATTAATTGAAAATGTGATTACTCTGAGTTTTATATTTCGAACTACCAGTTATGCAATTTATAAGTCATTAAAATTCATCCTTCCCTTTGTGTATAACATATCTTTGTTAAAACTAACCAGTCTTTTCCATCCCCACAGTGGAGAGTTTTATAAATGCTGTTTTGGCACTGAGACACTTTGCAAAAAGAATATATATATATATATATATATTTTATTGATACAGTCTCACTCTGTCACTCATGCTGGAGGGCAGTGATGCAATCTTGGCCCACTGTGACCTCCGCCTCCTGGGTTCAAGTGATTCTCCTGCCTCAGCCTCCTGAGTAGCTGGGATTACAGGCATGTGCCACCATGCCTGGCTAATTTTTTTGTCTTTATAGTAGAGGCAGCATTTCACCATGTTGGTCAGGCTGGTCTTGAACTCCAGACCTCAAATGATCCACCCGCCTTGGCCTCACAAAGTACTGGGATTACAGGCGTGAGCCACCATGCCTGGAAAAAAGAATATTCTTATTGTAGGAGTTGAACCAGGAAGATGTGTCAGATATAAAATCTTTGTAGGGGACACACACACACACACACACACACACACACACACACACATATTCCATGGCATATTTTTCCTAGTTTAAACCAAAATGTAATGAGTGGCATATGTGAGTTGTATTTATTTTTGTACTATTTTTCTCAAATAAACTTGGATAGATATTACAGCTTTTCCTTTGCACATCTCTAACTTTAAGATAGCTCACATTCTACTAGTCAATGGGAAAGCAAATAGTAATGAATGGAATCTGTACTATCATTCTCACTATTCAGTTTCTACTGCTATACATTGCTCTAGGTGTTTTCCATACAGTAAAGTCCATATGGGACTTAGAAAGTCCCATATATCCTTGCAGGTGGGTATTATTATGAAGGAAACTGAAGAACACTGGTTAATTTATTTGACCAGGGGTGTATCTCTAATAAATAACAGTGCCAAGATTCGTCTAACTCTAAATTCATATGATATTTTGTATTCTGCTGATTTTTCACCTAAATCACAAAGGGGTATGAACTAACCTCCATGGGTTTTAATTTCCTTTGAAATAGGAGGTGAACTTTGCCTTTTTTCTTTTTAATTTTTGTGGACATATAGTAGGTGTATATATTTATGGGGTACATGAGATGTTTTGATACAGGCCTGCAATATGAAATAAGCATATAATGGAGAACGCAGTGTCCATCCCCTCAGGCATTTATCCTTGGAGTAACAAACCACCTAATCACACTCTTTACATTATTTTAAAATGTACACTTATTATTGACTAGTCACCCTGCTGTGCTATCAAATAGTAGGTCTTATTCATTCTTTCTACTTTTTTGTACCCATTAACCATCCTAACCCCCCATCACTACCCTTCCCAGCCTCTGGTAACCATCCTACTCTCTGTGTCCTTGAGTTTGTTTTGATTTTAGATCCCACAGATAAGTGAGGACATGCAATGTTTCTCTTTCTGTGCCTGTCTTGTTTAACTTAACCTAATGACCTCCATTTCTATCCATATTGTTGCAAATGACTGAATCTCATTCTTTTTAATGGCTGAATTGTACTCCATTGTGTATATGTACCACATTTTCTTTATCTGTTCATCCATTGATAGACACTTAGGTTGCTTCCAAATCTTAGCTATCGTAAACAGTGCTGCAACAAACATAGGGGTACAGACACCTTTTCAATATACTGAGTTCCTTTCTTTTGGGTGGAAACCGCAGTAGTCATTTAACGAAGCTTTTCTCAAAATGATGCATTTATAAATTATTTCTTCCTTCAGGAAAGAGTACATCATCAAGATTTTTTCTTATTTTAATTCAATATGTGAAGGGCATAGAGAGAAGTCAGGAACTCACTAATTTTTGGACACTGGGGTAGGAGCTCCTAGTCATTTAATTTGAGCCTTAAAGCAACTTTAAGCATACATTTTATTTATCCTACTTTATACATGAAAAAGCATAGTCTCAGAAATGTTAAGCAACTCACTTGAGGTTTCACAGCTTGCAAGCTGCACAACCAGATTCAAATTTAAAGTCAGATGGATACCAAAGACCCACTACCCTTTCAATTGTACAATACTGCTTCTTGGTATTATAAACTCAGGCAACTCTGGTCATATTTATTAGATGAATCTTTATGTCTAGAAGCTTTAAATGGCAGAGCTTCTGGAGACCTTGCCTAATTTCTGATCTAATACCCATAGAACAAATGAGGACAGAGAAAATCAATGACTTATCCGTGTCCATTCTGTTTTCTGGTAGTGGAGTCAGTCCCAGGTTTTGTTCTCTTTTGATGTCATTTTTCTGCCTTATTTCAAACATGAGAATGATAGGAAAGGGACTTTTTATAGTGATCAGTAAAGGGCATTGCAGTCATGAGGAAAATCAGTAGTTTTCAAAATTTGAGTTTAATTACAGTCATGTGTCACTTAACAACAAGGATATGTTCTGAGAAATGTATCCTTAGGTAATTTCATTCTCATGTGAATATCATAGGGTGCACTTATACAAACCTAGATGTGTAGACTACTGTGCACCTAGGCTATAAGGGATAGCCGATTGCTCCCAGGCTGCAAATCTATACAGCATGTTACTGTACTGAATACTGTAGGTTATTGTAACACAGTGATAGCTATTTGT